AGCAGGAGGCAGCAGACATCCAGCCTCAGTCACAAATGCTCACTGGGGAAATCAGAAAGACAGGGGCCAGTACTTACACTTGCTCAACTCAAGGGGTCACATACAAAGATGACAAGTTATGATACCATATTTATAATTAACATTCTTATGGCTTCTACAATAGTTGAAAACACCACAAGAATTTGATATTATGCAAGCTAAAGGGAGTGACTATCTTAAGAAACAGATGAGCGTGGCCAGTGCTGTGGCTCACTAGGCTAATCCTCCACCTGCGGCGCCTGCACCCCAGGTCGTAGTCCCGGTTGGGGCGCCCGATTCTGTCCCAGTTGCTCCTCTTGCAGTCCAGCTCTCTGCTGTGGCCCGGGAGGGCAGTGGAGGATGGCCCGAGTGCTTGGGCCCTGCACCCGCATGGGAGACCAGGAGGAAGCACCTGGCGCCTGGCTTCAGATCAGTGCAGCGCGCCAGCTGTGGTGGCCATTTTGGGGGGTGAATCAATGGAAGGAAGACCTTTCTCTAACTCTGTCAAAAAAAAGAAAAACAGATGTGCAGTAATCAAACAAGCTTTGCTGTAAACCTGCTACTTGACTACTTGAGACCTTTATGTTAAGTCCTTTTACATTATCTTCAAAGTGCCTTCTCACAAGGTATTTGGTATTTCACCAACAGCTTTACATTTGAATAAACCCATTAAACTTTTTTTTTTTTAATTCAGGGGGTCTTTATTCATTTAGTAGAAAAATGTAGGCTTGCAGCAAAATTGGAAAATATAGAAAAATAAAACCACCCTTGGCTCAGTGATCCAGAGATAACTATTGTTTACACTGTAGTCTTTTTTATTATTATTATTCTAAATGTTACTAGTGTGTCTAAAACATGACTTAATGCTTCAGGGTGTTCTAAGCAGTAACTCACATGCATTTTCTCCTGTTACTTGACGTTCAGGTAATTCAGAATCGATTTTTACTGAATATTGTTAAAGGCAGCTTTTCCCTTTATATCAAGCATAAACATATGTGAGTTACTCTTTCTAAGACATCTACATTTACTCCCATCAGCACCGGAAAATCAAGCACTGTAGATAAAGGCAGCCAGCCAGAAACCCATCAGAGCAGTTGCCCAAGACTGGAGCTGCTAACAGAGGTTGTCCAAAGCCTGACCACTCTCAGTTGAGGTAGGAGCATTTAACAGGGCAGCCAGGGACACCATGCAGGTAGGAGGGGGTTCGTATGGTGTATATTGGATTACTGGCGGGGCGGGGGGGGGGGGGAGAAAGAGAATGATAGACTTTGAATCATTTTTCTACCATGCTGAATAAACAGCCTTTATATGGACCGGCAGTTAATATTTTATTTTGCATATGCAACCAAAGAAATCAAAGGCCAAATTTATTTCAACAGATAATATTTACTGTTACAAACTCTTGGGACTGTACTTAATAAAAAGGAATGAAATTCTGTCACTCTGCCATCAAGTCTATAAGGATATACTTAGCCAAACTTGTGTATGTCCTTCACATCATGAGGAATAAGAATGATGGGTGGTGACTCCGGGAAACTGAAAGAGGTACCCAGCCATCAAAATGCAGTGACCTCAGCTTGCCAGGCCAGAGGAGTATGTGGTGTGTTCTAGGTAACTTCATCAAGAGTTGACAAAACATTTTCTAGTTCATCAATGAGTTGGGGAAATTCAGTGAAACACACACCAAACTTCCAAAATATTTCATTTAATCCATTTTATATAAATGGCTTAGGCTATGTTTCTAGAAATATAAAATTCACACCTTTTTGCTTTTTTTATTTAACAGAGTTAGAGAGAAAGGACTCCCTTCTGTTGGTTCACCCCCCAAAATGTCCACCACGGCCTGAGCTACACTGATCCAAAAGCCAGGAGCCAGGTGCTTCTCCTGGTCTCCCATGTGGGTGCAGGGCCCAAGGACCTGGGCCATCCTCCACTGCACTTCCAGGCCACAGCAGAGAGCTGGACAGAATCTGCCACCCCGACCGGGACTACAACCCGGGGTGCCAGCGCCGCAGGCAGAGGATTAGCCTATTGAGCCTCGGCACCGGCCCCACACCTATTTCTAAACAGCATTATAGCCACCTTATGTCTTGGATTTCCCCAGACAAGCCCTAAATTAAATAGTATATCCCTCTGCTTCTGTAAAGTTAGAATCACAGAAATAAGACTAAAACCACAACTACCAGAACATACCCAGAAACTGTGCGCAGCCCTTCATCAGCCTAGGTGTCTGCCAATCACTGTCTATTCTTGCCAGTTACTAATTTGCATCCCCTAATCTGCAGAACCACCCTTCACATGTGTCCAGAAACTGCTCATCAGAAAGGGAAAACTTAATTAGGGAAAGAGGTCTCTAAAGGCAGTGGTGGTGCTGGCAAGATTACAAGAGCCATTATTTTCCTCCATGCTAACAACACAGTATTAAGAAATTTGTTCCCAATCTGCTACCTATGATTTGTAGTCAGTGGTGAGTCATGTGAATGCTGCTTTAATACTATGACCCCTTTGCTCACTCACCTCATAAAATAATCTTCATTAGAGGCAGCCACTTGGGAGTCAGTTAACATTCTCTTCTTGTGCTCAAGAATTCCAGGAGAGTATTACAGATGAAGGCCCTCACAGATCTGGTTTCAGTGGCTCCGACTCCTGCACCTCACCATGTTACTGGCTCCACCTATCCACAACGTCTACACTGCTTAACAAGAGCATTAAGGCATCACTTTTCTCTCAGCAGTTCACTTTGAGTGCCTAGTGCCAGTCACTATACCAAAGGAAATTACTGGGTTACAAAATGGACACTATAGACGTGTAATTATATGAATTATGAAAGAAACAAGGATGTATCAAAACTGGAAAGTTGCAACTTAATACTGAGGAAAGAATTTCATAATGATGTGATCAAACCTAAAGGTTAAAAAGGATAATTATGGGGAAAATGGAGTAAAAATATCCTAGGCAAAGGGAAAAATAAGTGCAGTGGTTTCAGAGCCAAGAACCATCGTGTTGAAGAATTTGAAAAACTTGGTGTAGCTAGAGCACAGTACGCAAGAGTGGAGTGTGGTTGGAGAGTTTAGCAGAGACCATATCATGCAGGGCCTGGGGAAGCTACTGAAAATGTTAAAACAAGAAAGGGGAGAAGGGAAGAGGAAATTCAGATAACCAGCCAGGTTTCTGGCTCCAAGTGCTAAATGAGGAGGTCATTCACTAAAATGATCAAACCCAGCATGGAGCCTTAATCTGACTCCAAAGCCCATGTTCTGCGGATAAATCACTTAACCACTATTCCTCTTAAGGCTGCTCGAGTTGGGAGAAGGGGCTGGGTCAGTCTTTGTCACTGTTGTCCTAGCATTTGGCTCATGCTTAAGAACAGTTATTTACTGGATGAGTCCCACCTCAGGTAACTCCTTGAAACCATGCCTTATTCTCAGATACGCAGTGTAGTACTTAAGAGACTGAAAGCTTGCAAACACCAAATTAAGAGTACCACGAGGTGGAAAATGTCTTCCACTTCCACAGGAAATAAGCAGTTAAGTGTCTGATAATGCACTACTAGAATTAACTAAAACTTTTGTTCCCAAAAATAAACATATTTCAGTCACTTCACTCATTGGAGCAAATTTCCCTCCTTATCTAGCATTCACTGTTCCACTGAGGCCTCAGAGATGAGAAAACAAATTAGGAATTAACTGGAATACTTTTATAAAATTATTTACATGACAATATCACAAGCTAGACTGACAGGGAACAATTTTCCAAACATCAGGTAAACTTAATCTTCTCTGATATCTACCCAACTAATGTTTTAGAGAGGTGGGCATTTATCATAGCAGGTTAGATCACCACCTGCAATGTCTGCTTACCATACTGGAATGCCTAGTTCAAGTCCCAGATGCTCTGGCTCTGAGCCACCTTCCTGCCGGTGCACACCCTGGGGGGCAGCAGGTGATGGCTCAAATACCTGCCTCCCTGCCGCCCACCTGGAAGACTCAGATTGTTCTGTGCTCCTGCCTTCAGGCTGCCCAGCCCTGGCTTGAGCGCATTTGGGGAGTGAACCAGCAGATGGAAGATCTGTTTCTTTTTCTGGCTTTCAAACAAAATGAAAATAAATTTTAAAAACAAGTTTAATGCTGTAGAAACTCACATAGAGGGGGGGGCCCTGCAAAGGGTGAGCAAGGTTAAGCCAGTGATGTCAGACATTGTAATTGATATTAGTAAATGAGCACATTTATTTTTCTCAGCTCAGATGTAGCTGGAGAATATGCGCTGTCCATAGTGGATTAAGCCACCATGTGTGTACAGATGGGAGATCCAGAAAAGGATCTCCGGGCCATTGCAGCATTTGGGGAGTGAACCAGCAGATGGAAGATCTATAACTCTGCCTTTCAAAAAAAAAAAAAAAAAAAAAAAAAAAAAAAAAAAAACCTCAAACGATCATCAACCAAAAGAGAAACTTTTATTTGACAGAGTTATAAACAGAGAAAGGTCTTTCTTCCATTGTTTCACTCCCCAAATGGCCACCACAGCTGGCACTACGCCAATCCGAAGCCGGGCGCTTCCTCCTGGTCTCCCATGGGGTGCAGGGCCCAAGCACTTGGGCCATCCTCCACTGCACTCCCTGGCCACAGCAGAGAGCTGGACTGGAAGAGGAGCAACCGGGACTAGAACCTGGCACCCATATGGCTGCAGGTGGAGGATTAACCAAGTGAGCCACGGCGCCGGCCCCAGAAAAGAGAAAAACTGTTTTGCCATCTCTGCCTAAAACAAACCTCAGGAATAGCCAGGAAGATAGTGTAAGGAATAAGGAGAAAAATGTTTTCTAGATTGTTGGCTCCTCCGGGGCAGCTCGGCTGTGTATAGCTACTGTTCAACAACTGAGGGGAACCTCAAGAAGCTGGCCTTCTGGCCCTGGTTTGCCAGATTTCTACCCAAATGTGAAAACCTTATAACAACAAAAATCAGTAACTTTTGCTTTGTTCTTTCAGCTCCTTTGAAGATTATGAAACAGATGAACCTGCCTCTCCATCTGAATTTGGAAACAAAGGCAATAAAATAACCTCAAGCCTTTCAGAGAAATGTGGAAAGCTACAGTCAGTGGATGAAGAGTAGCTGCCAATATCTACATAAACGGAAGATGTGTATTTTAAATATTTTTTCCTAGTGGATTCTCTATTTGCATACTGCTTTTGAAAGGCTTGGAGGATGCCTGTCTGCACTAGGAACTTAAAAACGTTTTTAAGCAGTAAATCTAGATACACACTCAACTTAGGAGGCTCCTCTAGTTTGCCTCAAACCTCTTGCAGAGCTTTTCCTTGGAAGCAAGTATCACATACTGTCACCTTCCGAAGTCTGCGGATCAGCACTCTACACCCCTGAATGTACCAAGGATCTCTTAGGGACAGTGCCAACCACAGAAGTTGCCTCATGTTGGCCAGCATCCCTGAGGCCCCTCGGGGCTCCTATGGAGCCTAGAAGATACCTTCACTTGCAGAAAACTTGAGTCAGAATATTCTGGAACTTGAAAACTTAAGGGCCTCCAGAATTGAATCAGCCCTAGTTAATGAAAGCACTGCCAAAACATCTCAGAGACCTCTTTTAATTATGTATACTGGAGTTCAGAGATCTTGAACTTAACCTGGTATAATGTAATTTTACAATGACCTGCCAAACTGCTAGTCACTTTACATCCTCAGGTATTGTAACCACTGGGCCTTCCAACTGGCTGACAAGCTCTGCCCCTCCCCAACCTAACTCTGGATCTTATATAAAATCTCAAAACTTCTCAAATGAAGACAGTACAGAATTTGACTCATACTTGAAGAAAAAAGTCCTTTGAATTGAACATTTGTAGAGAACTATTGAATGATTTGTTACTCTCCAAATCCATTGATGCCCCATCTTTACTTCCTATCAGAAGGCCTACTTCAAGACTTACTGGGATAATGAAATACTTTATGAAAAGTTCTTACCATACCCTTTTTTTCACTGAGTATTAGACGAGGACAAGAGTACAAGCCTCTACCTAAACATTATTCCTTTCTATTCCAAATACTTCAACCACCTCAATATTTACCATAAAAATCAAAGAAAATAATGGTATATCCCCAAAAGAGAAAGCTGTTGTTTACTATTGCGGTGGTTGTGTTCAATACAGAATCCTACATTTTTTTCAGCAGGCCACAGTGCAACCAAATCCTACAATATCCTTGGGGGGAAAAAAACCTGAAATTTCAAAAAGGATGGACAGAAACCAGCCACCAAGCAACTTTTTAACATTCACCTCTATTAACTTCTCCCCTCCATTCTTTTTTAACCAGTCTTCAAAGTGTCAGAATAGCTTCTCTTTCCACATCAATCTTTGGTCCCTTTGCTGGTGGTAAAAGCCAAGCATTGAAATAATCAAACCTTAGGGCACGGTGGACATAAAGTAGGAGAGGAAGACGTAGGAAATGGACATCACTTCACGCAGTAAGGGAGTTAGCAATCCTGCCTGTCACAGGGTCCTCCCACTGCCCTGTTACTTTACCTTCTTGATTAGAACGGATCTTCTATTTTAACTATAATAGAAAGTGGAACTATACAACTACTTAACAGTTCACCCAGAAGAATGAAAATTTAAATATGACTGAATGTTTAGGAAACATTAAATGCAATCTAAACACATTAATTAATAGATTTATATAGTAACATGAAATTTACCAATTCCATCCAGCCTTTACCAGGGAAGGAAAGCAACTATTTATTTTTAATTTCAGATAAAAATACAAAAAAGGTAATACTTTTAAATAACAGATTTTAAAAGTTTTATTATTCAAAATGATCTAAACTAGTTCTAAAACTTACAAAAAAGTAAAAATGCAAGTCAGTTTCACAATATACATTTTTTAACCATTTGGGTTTGGGGGATTTTGTGTTTGTTTTTACCTTATTCTTACTGAAGTTCTCTTCGCTTCACTTTGGTCAGTGTTTGGTTTTAAAAGTCTGTTGTTATTTTTAAAGTACAGTTATTAATACTACTCAAGATAGACTAATTTGGGTTGCCCAAATTATAACATACTCAGTAACTATAAGAATGTGTTTCATCGTACTCCTTTCTTAGAGCTGAATGCAAAGAATGTGAATTCTGAACTACAATAATATATATTTGACCTTCTGATAAAGATCATGCTAAATATAACCCACCAAACTGGAAATTTCAAGTTGTTACATTATCCCTGGCCCCTTGATTACAGGTAAGTTGAGGGTTATCTTAATGTTATCCAATGAAAAATTAGTTTCATAGTGATAATCAAACTAGTAAAATTCCATGTATTTCCCTTGCATTTTACATGCCACCACTGTGTACCACATACAGTGTATTTATAAAACTTCAATCTGATTAAATGAAATATATCATTTGCTCAGCTTTTGGAAATGTTAAGGTGTGCTTGAGTGAAGACTGCATGAACTGTTTTTCCCTTTTTGCAAAACTAAATAAAATTGTTAAATATGAATCACATTCACTAAGATAATCACTATATACTTTTGGTTTTAATTACATTTGCAACACATTTTTATATCTGAAAGAGTAACATTGTAGACAAGCTTGAGGTTAAAACATTTTTTGAACCCCTGGGAAAACTACAAACAGATCTGTTGGAAGGACAGTATCTTAAAGTAAAAAGTGATTTATTTCCTTTGGCAAAAGGGAGCAGGGTTGGGGAACGTGGGATTCACAGGATAAAAGGGGACTTCAGTAGTATCTATAATTACTTTAAATGAATGTGTAATTGTGTGTTATTAAATACTTAGAATATTTGAAGAGGGAGAAAAGCATAAAACACCATCCACATATTAGAATTAGACACTATACTTTGAATTTAGTATTTTCTAAAGCATTCTGTATTACCTGCAATGTGGGAAAGGACAGTTAATTTATCATTTGTTGTAAAAAACTTTCTTTTCAGAAAAATGAATTGTTTTAAGCAAAACTAGGAACACAACCAAAATAAAAAGACTCTCTATCCTAGGAATATACCACCGAACTATATGGAAATGTAGACGTGATGAAGCTAATTAAAAAGATAAATCATCAGCTCTAAGATCACCTACCGTAAAAGGTCATCTGGCCATTTATATTAATAACAAAGACTCAAAATAACATTAAAGATGTGCCATATTAAATGCTGTTCTTGTCTTGGTGGTTTCATACCCTGAAGAAGTAAATCCAGTTACTTCAGTAATGCTATCAATCACTCCCAGATTACCCATTGGTCAGCATTCTTAAATAACTTGTGGTATAAAGAGAAACAGTAAAAAAGTCAAAGCACCATAATTAATTATTCTTCCCCAAATTAATACAGACCAGAGCATGCTATCCCAAACTCCTCAGTATTCTACAACATAGAATTAGAAAACTATCATTTATTGATAGATTTAAAGTGTAATACAGGTTTCCAAAAATGTGGCAGTGAGAATACCAGCATAAAAAAGAGAAACTTGTGCTAAAAACAACCTGAATTCATCATTGGCAATATTACATAACAATCGAGGCCCTCACATACTAATGATTTCCACTTTGTCTATATTGCCAACCTCCCATGCATCAAAAAAACACAAAACTAAGAGTATCAAACCTGGGAAGCAATAAAGTACTCTATGAATTTTAAGATCATAATATTAGGAAGGTTTGGGAGATTTGCAAAATATACCCTAATCATCCATGTGTACAATCTCATTTCTAGTCATTTTTGCAGTGATCATTAGTGAAGAACAGGTTTACAAGTTTATATAGCAGGGTATCTGGTTGACACAAAATTGTTACAAACTTTTAGGTAAATACATGTTTCATAAGACACTGCTAACACTTAAAAGGAATTAAATAAAATTCCAAAATTTGGAAAGCAAATAAAGACAAGACAACTAAGAAGCATTTTCCACCATTTACTCTTGTTATCAAAAATAGTTCAACTCTTCTTGCAAAACAAAAACAAAATAGTACATACTGGACACATACATCACATTTTTCTTCCTATGGCTTTAGCCCACCCCCACCCCACCAAAAAAGAGACCAAGAAAAAAAAAAAGCCCAACAACAACAACAAAAACAATTCTACCTGACCACATTCACAGAAAATGACACCAGGATACACTACAAAACAGAAGGAGGTGTCATCTGCTCTGTGTCCAAAAGTTTCTTCTCCATGTCTTGTACTAGGCGAGTAACCATCATTGAACATGCTGTGTGCCAAATCAAACAGAACTTCAACATATGTCAGATCTCACTAAAGATGGTGAACGTAGTAGAAATGGGAACTTTTCCAGCAGTATTTTTCTTTAAATAAGCACTGTCAAAGCAGCAACTCTTCTTTCAAAAATTCACAAGGTTATTTTTTTACACCTAGCCAGTCCTTGTTTTACTTGGGCTGTGCTCTTTCAAGCAACTGACTAGATTTCCCTTCAACAGAATGTGACTCACTTATCTTCCCATAAAAAAGGGAAGGAGTGCATTTAAACTGAAACATAGTTTGTGCTTTACATGCAAAAGAGCATTCTAAAGAAAATCTAGTTTCAAACATACCTAAATGCACAGGCTTCATAAAAAGGCATTTTTATTAGGCCTCAATAAAGAAGCCTTCATAATGAATAGCACCCTAAAAAAAATAGGAGCATATTCAAAATAAAAAGTCTGTGGCAAATAAACTATTAGATGGGAGGGGGGAATCAAAAGTGGCCAATGGCAATATGTATAATATATAAATCTGGGTAAATTTGGGGGCATTATTCCAAAATTATTTTAAATAAATCCCAATTTCTAAATAACACCTTTTTATAATTTAAAAAACTCTGTCATATAATATAGTCTAAACTCAAATACTTTCAGAATAAAAACTGCTCTTCTCTACTTCATTTATCCAATTAGAACATTGCTCAAAGTGAAGGAAGGATTTAGGATTTTTCACTAGAAATGAGTCAGACATAACTAAAAAGGAAGCTAAACTCAGAAGAGTTTGTAGCATCAACAGCCGAACATTTGTAGTCTGACAGAATTTCAGTCTTTTAAAAGATTTCTTAAGCATTCTAATGAGGGGCAAATTTTCTTTCATAATACTGCTGATTTAAGAACTGCTACATACACCGGTAGCCAATTTTCATGATCAGAAATGGTATTATGTCAGCAAAAAGGTTGAGCTGGACACATCAGCTTTTCAACAGGAGAAACGTCAATGTGGCGTCTGAAGGCAGCACTGAGTCTCCTGAACAAACTAATGGCTACTTTTCCACAAAAAAATTAGCACAATCTTTATGAACTGACTAGATACCACTTCCTTACATTTAATCATAAACTTTGATTATGCACAAAGCATGACCATAAACAATGAGGTTAATGTTATTTTCCTTGCCAAAGTTCATTTTGTATAAATCAGTTGCATCAGCATTTGTTCTCAAACTATGAGGTTCTGTAAGAACTAAGGACATATAGTTGTAGGGTTACTCCTCCATTATCTGCAAACTATTTCCCCGACACTAACACATATAACTTAGCAATGAAAACACTTGATACAAGTGATCTATATGCAGGAGCTCCGGCAAGTTAAACCAACAGAACCATAGCTGCCGTAAAACTGTAGCTATTTGCCTACCAGAGGTAGGTTTAAAGACCCACTGATTTAACAGTCGAATCTCATGTCTATAGCTTCATCCAAACTTTTATCATCATGTGTACTGGCAGCTAAAAACGTCGTTACTGGGGACCCTGTGACATTAATTACACTGGTGCTGGTGCTTGCGTTACGCACAGCAATGCTAGTCACATTAATGCCCAAAGTGAGCCTGGTCTGCTCCAAGGCCTTTTCTGGCACAGCAAATGCCTCCAGCTTCTTCTCCCCATTGGCCATATAGGAGTTTTGGCAGCCACGACATATACAATCTAAGCAGGCTTTGCGGTTAGAGTAGCAAGGGCAGCGTTGGCCGCGACATGTAAGAACACTTGGATTCTGAGTAGCACGCCCACATTTACACCCTTTCTTTTCCTGGGGTTTTTTGTACACAGTCTTGGTAGGACTTCCTGGCATAAAATGATGACTAGGAATCTTTTCCTTTACGGCTTTGTCTTTTTTAAGAATTCCTGGCTTGGTTTTAGAGTGAGATTTCTTGGATCCATGTTCATGACTCTTTTTCATGCTTTTAGTAGATAAAAGTACAGTTTTGCTGATTTTGGGTGTCGTGCCTCCATTGGGAACAGTTGCTATAGGCTGAAGAGAAATTTTGCTCTCCCGTTTCACTGTCACAGGAGCAGATGCTCCCAATGTTGGGCCTCGAATAATGGTAGAAATTGGAAGTGGCTGAACTTTCTCACTGTCGCTTTCTGATCTGGATCGTTTTCTGTTCAATTTTGCTACCTTCGGAGTTGCTGCTGTACATGATAACCCATGAAGTGCAGGACTGGTGGACATAAAAACATTATGGCTAAGAGACTGGGAAGAAAGCTGCAAAAAAGGTCCGTTGGATACAGTGGCTTCCAAGTTCGGCTGCAAATTTGGGCAACAAACCTCTGTATTTGAAACAGTTTCTAAGCTGCGGAGTACTTCCTCAACACTCAGTAAGAGAGAGTCACCAGGTTTTATATCTTCACTGAAACTGCAGATATCAATGCCTGTGGAGCATAAGTCAGTGGCTACTGTGTCACAGACAGGTGGCAGGCTATCAGATAGATCCTCAGTTTTTATATCAACAGTGTTACACACATCAATTGTATTTGAATGTTCAGGTGAAGGAATATTTATACCGAATCTATCTATTGAAAGCCCATTATAAGTAGGCAAACCATTGATAACAGAACTTCCAATAGCAATGCTGAGGGTACTTTCAGACATTGGAGATAAACTAGCTTGAGGATCAGCCGTGGGTTCTGAAGTTGACGGTAAAGGGGAATGTGTCAAACACAAAGTAAAGGATGAATCGGAGGGTTTTTCTGTCTCCTCACAAAACAATGATCCATCATTAAGCAAAGCCAAAATATCAGAAGAACAGTCAACTGCTTCTATTATATCTCGTGCCAATGTAGTCTGTGTTATATATTCGCAGAGTTTTTTGTAGCAGTTCACTAGGATGCTTAACTGCTTGTTTTCCTCAAACTGCTCATAGTCTTTGCACCAGCTACATGAAGGCTTCATCATCATTTTCTTGCCTTTGCAAGTTTTGCAGACATAGTGTTGGCAAGTGGAGTTGGTAGGTGCAATAGGATCTTGTAGCAAATGTCCTAAGAGGAAGAAGGAGGAAAGCAAAGATTTTAGTAAAATAAATTTAGGGTTTCATGTTACTGGAATTCAGATGATATTAATCCATCAAAATTGATGGTTTTAACTCGCCAGACTAGGTAACAAAAATTATCTTACAAAAACAGAAAAATATTAGCTCTATTTCCACATCATATTTCCCCATTGCTTTATCTTGAACCATAATCTCCCTTGATTCTGAATCTGTCCCCCCAAATGTTATGTTCTGGTCCACA